CAGGATGCGGCCCCCGCAGTCCCGCTGTTCATCGTTAGGTTTATGTGGCTGGCACCTTAGCCACTTGAGCCACAGGCACTGAGCCACCAATCTCCTCCCGCTAGCATTGGAAGTGTGCTTGGCATGGTGGGCAGTGGGCAAGGCTTGGCAAAGGAGGCCTGGGGCTAGCTGGCTGCCACAGGAGCAAGGGGCAGTGAGCTGGGGGGTAGATGGGAATGTGCCTGGGAGAGAGAAGGCTCAGCAGATAGGAAAGGAATGCTGCAGGGCTGGGGGCAGGGTGGGGTGTCCTGATCTTGGAAAGGCCACTCTTCCAGGGGCTAGGAGAACAGCTGGTAGAACCAGGTGCTGGTTTCTGTTGGGAAAATGAGTTTAGTTTTTGACATTTGACTCTGGTGACAAAGTTGTGGAAAATTCCCAGAAAGACACCCACAGCTGAGATTTACTGAGTGCTCAATATATCCCAAGCGCACTGTTGCTATTCTCACTTCAGATTTGAGGAAATAGGGTCAAAAGGAAGTAAGATTATTCCAAGTCTTCCAACTGACAGATGAAGGCAGAAGCCAGGACCAACCCCAGAAAACCTGATCCTAAAGCCCACACTCAACCCCAACAACTCCCTGCTCTGGCTCTGACTCTGAGTTCCAGAAAGGGACCCTACCGGCACGATCATCATGACCCTGCAATGAATCCTGTACTTGAGGAAAAAAACAACTGGGGCAATTGACCAAACTAAAACACACATAGTTAACTAAAGTATTGTTAACAAGGCTGGGCGAGGTGGCTCCCACCTGTAATCCTAGCACTCCAGGAGGCCAAGGCAGGTGGATTGCCCTGAGCTCACAAGTTCAAGACCAGCCTTAGCAAGAACAAGATCTCGTCTCTAAAAATAGTTGGGGATTGTGGCAAGCACCTATAGTCCCAACTACTCGGGAGGCCGAGGAAAGAGAATCACTGGAGCCCAAGAGTTGGAGGCTGTTGTGAGCTATGACACCATGGCACTCTACCAGGGGCAACAAAGTGAGACTCTATCTCCAAAAAGAAAAAGAAAGAAAGAAAATGGGGCAGCGCCTGTGGCTCAAAAGGGTAAGGCACTGGCCCCATATGCCAGAGGTGGTGGGTTCAGCACCTGCCCAAAAAAAAAAAAAAAAATATATATATATATATATATAGTTAACAGTGTCTGTTTCCTAAACTCACTAGTTATCGTGTATTCATGAGAAAACATCCATGTTTGCCAAGCATGGTGGCTCATGCCTGTCATCCTAGCACTCAGGGAGGCTGAGGCAGGTGGATTGCTTGAGCTCACAAGTTCCAGGCCAGCCTGAGCAAAAGTGAGACACCCCCCCACCCCCGTTTCTACTAAAAATAGAAAAACTGAGGCAAGAGGCTTGCTTGAGCCCAAGAGTTGAAGGTTGCTATGAGCTATGACCCAAGGCATCCTACCCAAGGCAACAGCTTGAAGACTCTTGTCTCACACACAAAAAACAAAAAGAAAAAGCTAAGTATTAAGGAATAAACAGGATGATAGTATGCAATCTACTCTCAAACAGTTCAGGAAAAACAACATACACATAGCTAGAAAAAATCTGAATAATACCATGTTTCCCCAAAAATAAGACACTGTCTTAAATTTATTTTTTCTCAAGAAGACACACTAGGGCTTATTTTCAGGGGATGTATAAAGTATAATACAACAATCTACATTTATTCAAATACAGTTAAGTCATCTTCTTCTGGAACCTGACAGGCGGAGCCAACCTTGTCGGTGGGGCTGGCACTAGGGATGCGTGAACTCCTTTCCCCTAGCCCAAGGGTCCTAAAACTTTTTAAACAGGGGGCCAGTTCACTGTCCCTCAGACCGTTGGAGGGCCGGACTGTGGGCCACGAGACAAGTCAGCTGCTAAGCAGGACAGGCAGTGGCAAAAACACCTAGCGGGCTGGATAAATGTCCTAGGTGGGCTGCATGTGGCCCATGGGCGGTAGTTTGAGGACGCCTGCCCCTAGCCTTTACACGTGCCCAATAGAATGCCTGAGACTGTGGTTACCACAGGTGCACCCCGCACAAGTCAGAACAGCTCCAAGAAAGGAGCTATGGCAGATAAAAAAGCATTCCAGTCTTTACCCACTCCACTCTGAAATGCATGACCATTACTAGGTCTTATTATTGGGGTAGGGCTTATATTTAACAAATGCATAGAAATCCTGCTAGGGCTTATTTGGGGGGTAGGTCTTATTTTTGGGGAAACACAGTAAAATGCCACAAAGTAAACTTGGATAAAAAGTAAACACTTAAAGAAAAACCAGACCAGGATAACTGAACTCCTCTTAGGGTGGAAGGAAAGGAGGAGAATGGGAAATGCAGCCAAGAGGTGCACAGGTGGGGAGGGGAGAATTACTACAGACAAGCTAAGGAACTGACTAAGTGACTGATCTGGCCATCAACAAGTCCTAACAACCTTGGGGAGGGAGGTACCTGTTTTGAAGCATGGTCAGCCAGCATGCAGGGCATGATGCTGAGTGAGCAAGTGTGGGGACAGTAACCAGAAAGACAGACAAGTGATGGAGAAAGCCCTGCAGTGGGACCCCAGGACCAGGTGGAGGGAGGCCCACAGAAGCCAAACTGGGCAGTGCCTGTGGCTCAAGGAGCAGGGTGCTGGCTCAAGGTGGCAGATTCAAGCCCAGCCCCGGACAAAAACTGCAAACAAACAACAATGACAAAAAAAGCAGAGGCCAAACTCAAGCATCAAGGCGTGTGAGCTGGGGCAGGGGGAACATGAGATTTGAAAATTAAGGGGCTGGTTGTTCCAGCAGGCCCCTGTGGCCCCCTTTGCTTGAGACCAGAGCCTGGACCCAATTCTAGAATTCTGGGAGACAAGTTGTAGACCAGACTAAGCAAGAGCAAGACCTGTCTCTACTGAAAATAGAAAAACTAGTGGGCTGCGCCTGTGGCTCAGTGAGTAGGGAACCGGCCTCATACACCTAGGGTGGTGGGTTCAAACCCCACCCTGGCTAAAAACTGCAACAAAAAATAGCGGGGCGTTGTGGCGGTCGCCTGTAGTCCCGGCTACACGGGAGACTGAGGCAAGAGGATCGCCTAAGCCTAGGAGCTGAAGGTTGCTGTGGGCTGTGTGATGCCATGGCACTCTACCAAGGGCGACATAGTGAGAATCTGTCTCTACAAAAAAAAAAAAAAGAAAGAAAGAAAAACTAGCTAGGCCTAGTGGTGGGTGCCTGTAGTTCCAGCTACTCGGGAGGCTAAGGCACCGAGAATTGCTCAAGCTCAAGAGTTTGAGATTGCTGCGAGCTACGATGACGCCAAGGCACCCTATCCAGGAGGATAAAAAAAAAAAAAGACCAGAGCCTGACCTCACCTTGTGATAAACCTCCGGCGGGGAAGTAACCAGGGTAGGACAGAAGGAAGTGACACCGTGCGACAGGATCTTCCGGGCCACCAGGGCAACCCCCGAACCCGCGTCCTCCGTGGCCTGGGAGAAGTCAACGCCAAATCCACCTGCGGCCAAAGAAAAGTGGGAGTCGCGCGGTGCTCTGAGCTCCCCCTAGGTCCCCTGCCCCGCCCTGGGCCCTACCGTTGATCTGCACGTCAATGAAGCCGGGCGCCAGGATGCGGCCCCCGCAGTCCCGCTGTTCATCGGCCACGCGCCGTTCCTCGAAGAACAGTTTCTCCGGATCCAGGATGCGGCCCCCGCGCACCCACAGATCTTCCCTGCAGACGGAGCGGCGGGCGCTCGGATCGCCGCCCC